TCCCAGGACCAAATCTTTAAACATGAAGCTGCAACAGGAACCCGAAGGCCTCTCTTGACATCTTGCCCAGCTCTCATTATGACATTTTAGCCTGTGATTGATATTGTATGTGTCACAGAGACCTTGGCAGTTAATCTCTGGGTCGAATCTATGGAAACCAAACAGAACAGATTTGTCTTCCCCTTCCATTCTGGCTGTGATCTGGAAAACAGACTCTCTTGGCCTCTCTGAGAATTAGAGATTTGGGAGCCATGCAGAGAGGGATGCACACAAGCCGCCTTTAGGATTTGGAAAGATTACAGGTCTGTGGTTTCTGGACGGCTCCATGCTTTGTTCTCTTCCCCCATCAAATCGGCACGACGGAGGATAATAGATCCCAGAGCTCCCTCTGAGTGCCAAGTTGCTCTGGGTAGACCGCACCACTTCCTCCTCTGTCTGGAAATCCAGCCGAGGCTTTCAGCACAGAGGTGGGGCCGGGTATGGCTCTCTCCGCAGTATAATGAAGGAGGACTGGCCTCACCCAGGGTGAGGTCAACTTCAGTGATCAAAAGAGACAGGCGGAGGTTTCAGAATGGAAACCTCCCTAAAATTGCCTCTTCCCAATCCTCCTTTAGTGGCAGGCAGGGTTCAGAAGGGCCTAAACCACCACATTGAGGTACACAGTGCCCAGCTTCTACTCACTTCACTACGAGAAGAGTGGGTACCATGGAGGGGCTAAGTTTCAGGCCTCTAGGAATTAAGGTCCCCATGGGCCTGCAGCAATGAAAGCTGTGACCATGAACTTAGGAGTTGGGGGCGGGGGGTCTGTGTTGGTTCCTGCAATAGAAGCTTCAGCCACCCCTTGAGATAATTTCTCCCTTCCCACCTGGAAACACCAGCAGACAGGTCTCAGAGTCAAGTTCAAGCCTGACCAACCACTGGCTGGAAGAAGCAGGGTTCATCCTATTCTGTGCTTTTCACCCCTGCACCTGCCTCTGGATCAGCCAGAGCCTCAGTCCTGCTTCAGCAGCTCTGGCTGAGTTCCCTAGCAAGGCCTCACAGGCCTTTGTCCTTCATTTACCCCTCACAAAACCATTCCTTTGTTCAACACATATTTCCCGAGCACTTTCTACACTGCAGACACTGAGGCTACAAGGATAAACACTAAGGAGGCTCGGACCAAGGTGACCCAGCCTTTCTCCTTCAGGGCCTGCACCTGAATTTGGGAAAGCCAGACCTACCTCAATGAGAAGAATGGAAAGCATTTAGACTAAGCACTCTTAACTATCCTTCTCTACTGTTCCTTCACACACACACGCGCGCGCACGTGCATTTGCTTTCTCTGTGCATATATTATATATACATATATATATGTGTGTGTGTGTGTGTGTGTATAAAATATATGTATATTATACATATATATTTCAGTATTGGGGATTGAACCCAGGGATGCTCTACCACAGAGCTCCATCCCCAGCCCCTTTTTTTTTCCCAGAAGGGGTCTTATTCATTTGTCCAGGCTGCCCTTGAACTTTGGATCTTCCTGCCTCCAACCCCCCAGTAGCTGGGATTACAGGTGTGTGCCACCAGGCCTGGCAGCTCCTTGACTCTTGAGTCACATCTCAAACAATTATTATCAACCTTGAGTGATTGTCAGACTCTCCTGGGAGTTTGTTAAAATACAGACTTTGAGGCCCCAGTGTACAGCCCAGGAGTCTGTTTTTAGTCCGTGTCTGATGACCCCAACAGGGATGGTCTTTACATCACACTGAGAGGTTCTCCTCTGCTCCACGTTGCCCTCACCACCCCATCCCAGGAATCAGTGTGCTGCAGGAGGCACTCACAAATCTTGGCTTCCAAGATCCCCACAGACACACACAGTTAGCTCATGATCCTTTAAGGCATCAACTATGGACTTGAGAGAATCTAACCTGAAAGGAGTGGTTTCATCCCTTTCCTCCCCCCACCCATTCTTTTTCTTAAGAGATGAGGTCTCTGAACTCCTGGGCTTAAGCAATCCTTCTTTCTCAGCCTCCTAGGTAGCTGGTACTATAGGTGTGTGCCACCTCATGGCCAGTGCCTCTTTAAAAATTTTTATTACAGATCCTTCCAACCCACATAAAAATAGTACCAACCTTGAAATCACCATCCAAGCTCAACTATCACCACCCACAGCCAATCCTGCCTCACACACCTCCACCAAGACCCCACCCTCCAATATGATGTGATTGCATTTTCAACTATATTGTTTTTAATGCAAATCCAAGACATTGTATCATTTCATCTGTGAATATTTAGGATAAGACCCTGTGGTTCTCTGAATCTCTTGCAAATGTCCCATCAGAACTAGACCCTGAAGACTTTGCTGAGATTCACCAGTGTGTTCTTCGATCAGAAAGCACATTAAGGCTGGGCACTGTGGCATATGCCTATAATCCTGAGGCTGAGGCAGGAGGATCAATTGTGAGTTCAAAGCCAGCCTCAGAAATTTAGTGAGACCCTAAGCAACTCAACAAGACTCTGTCTCTACATAAAATTCAAAAATAGTCTGGGGATGTCGTTCAGTGGTTAAGCACCCCTGAGTTCAAGCAAATAATGTCTGTTATTTCTTCTTATTCTTACATTGTTAGCAGTCAATGTTCAGAGCCTGGCCCAGTAGTTCATTGGGAATTGTAAAAATAGTGCTTCCTTCCTTCTTTATTATCTGGAATACCTTTTCAAAGAGAAAAGTTCCTATATCTTCCCAGTACAGTTTTTATCAGAAAGGAAGAATAAATGTTAGGTTGTTTTCCTTCATTTATTCATCTCAAAATAATGAGCTAATTCCCAGCACCTTCCAACAGCAAATAATTGTTTTAAGTATCTTTACCATTTAAGTGTTCCCATGTGTTTCTGTCTGCTGGAGTTGTTGTTACTTTGGTGTTGGGCATTAAACTCAAGGACGCTTTTCATTGAGCAATATCTCCAGCCATTTTTATTTTTTATTTCAAGACAGGGTCTCCCTAAATTGTCCAGGCTGGCCTCAAACTTGTGATCCTCCTACCTCAGCCTCCTGAGTTGCTGGGATTCTAGGCATGTGCCTGGCTGCTGGAGGTTTTTTATTTTTATTTTTTTGTAGTTGTAGATGGGCAGAATGCCTTTTATTTTATTTAATTTTTTTACGTGGTGCTGAGGATCGAACCCAGTGCCTCACACATGCTACGCAAGCACTCTGCCGCTGAGCTACAGCCCCAGCCCAGGAGTTATTTTTATTACTCATGTTCAGATTGTCCTGTTCCTGAATAAATGGAAGCCTTTGCAAATTTTACTGAGTGGTCTTTGATCCTACTGGTCTATGGAACCACTAGCCCTTTTTTTTACATTCGTCAAATCCCTGCCTGACCTTCCTCACATTGTATTCTCCATTACTTTCCCTCTCAACAGACTAAGGCCATGTGCTACGAACACCCTCAATTTATAATTTTCCTCATCTGTAAAATGAGGATAATAATAGTGCTCTCCTTATAACAGTTATTCAGATTGAATGAATTTATAACTGTAAAGAACTTGGAATAGTTGTCTGGGACAAAATAAGTTTAAGGACAGTCCTCCCTCAGTATTATGGAGAATTGGTTCCATGACCTCTTGAGGACAGCAAAATCTGGGGGTACTCAATACTCAAATCCCTTACATAAAATAGTGTAGTATTTGCATTTAACCTATGCACATTCTTCTGCATACTTCACATCATCTCCAGATTACTTACAATACTTGATGCAACATATATGCCATATGAATAGTTGTTATTGTTTAGGGAATAAAGTAAAAAAAAAAAGTCTGTACATGTTCAGAACAGATGCAATTTTCCTTTTCCTTTTTTGTACTAGGGATTGAACCCAAGGGTACTTTACCACTCAGCCTCATCCCCAGCCTTTTCAATTTTTATTTTGAGACAGTGTTTTACTAAGTTGCTTAGGGCCTCTCTTAAATTGCCCAGGCTGGCCTTGAACTTGCAGTCCTCCTGCCTCAGTCTCCTGAGTCAATGGGATTACAGGTGTGCACCACTACACCAGATCAATTTTTCTTTTCTGAATATTTTCAATGTTGTTGGTTGAATCATAAATTTGGAACATGAGGATATGGACGACTGACTGTATTTGTCAAATAAATAACATTCCCTCCCTGCCACAGGCCTATCTCTATACTCCTCAGTCATTTCACCCTTTTCTCCTTCCCTCTAGTCTCAGAGCATGAGTACAACTTCCCTTCCCTGGCTGTCTGGCCATACATGTGCCATTAACTTGGCTCATAGAACACACACTGCCCTATTCCACTGTGAATTCATTTCCTCAGGGACAATGGAAACTCTTCTTCTGCATGCCACTAGCAGAGCCTGACAAGCTCTCCAGACATGTTTCAATCTGCAGACAGAACAGCTCCTAGCATGAATATCTCTTTTGACTCCCTGATAAACTAATGCAGCAATGGCCAGCCTCCTGGTGTGAGCCGTGAACATGACCCCAACTGTCCTAACAAGCTGGCTATCCGTCCTGTAGCAGCTTGCCTCCCACCCCAAGGCTTCTGAAGCCCTGCTTCTGCCCTTGGCTGTGCTGACCTGGACAAACCTGCTCTGGGCTTAGCCATGTGCCCTTTCTGCTGGCCAAGTGCTCCCTGCAGCTATCAAGCATGCTACAGTCCTGCAACACCAGGGGCTTCTGAACTTTCCTATTTGAGATAAAAATGGCCCAAACTAGCAGATTCCAATCAGATGACAGAAAAAGTAGGCACCAAAGAGGGAATAAAGTCTAGAAGCATGGTGGAAAGGGACTAGCTGTCTGGGAGGATTTTGTGAACCCAAAGCCTATTCTAGGTCAGCAGCAAATTAACCTCAGCCCCCAGTACTCTCTGGAAACATTGGCATGTTGAGGAGTGTTGTTTAACTGCCATCATGGCTGGCCTTGCTCACCTGTGTGGCCTGGGATAATCAAGTAGGAGGAGAGCAAGCCAGGGACTCTTCAGCCATGTTTTTAGGTCAGCTTCTTCCCACCTCTTTCTGTAATGCCTGTTCCTGACCTTAGCATTCCCTGCTAATCCCCATCCTGACCCTCTCTCATGACCAGCTGCAGAAAGGAAAGAAAATCCTTTCACTTCAAAATGACATCTGGAGAAGCGAAGACAAGCCTCAAGAATGTCTACCCATCTGCCAAGAAGCTGTCCCTGAAGGCGGAGGAGGAGAGGGAGACAGAGGACTACTGCACCCCTGGAGCCTTCGAGCTGGAGCGGCTCTTCTGGAAGGGCAGCCCCCAGTACACCCATGTCAACGAGGTCTGGCCCAGGCTCTACATTGGCGACGAGTAAGTACCCAGGTTCTCCTTCACTTTGGCCTTGCCCAGGAGAAGGCAGCAGCTCCTCCCCAGGTCACCGCCACACCTCCCAGGAGAGCACCTTGGCCTTCAGAGTTGTTCTCTGAGAATTCTATTAGTTAGGGCTGGGTTCATCTTCATTTTACAGAAAACGCAGAAAAGGGGCATAAGCAAGATAGAAGTTTATTTCTCTCTTGCATATAAGTCCAGAGGAAGGCAAGCTGGGGCTGGCACGGTGACTACATGATCATCAGGGACCCAAGCTCGTGTGCTCTGTTCTGCCATCTTGAGGGCCTGGCTTCCCTCCTCAGGGTTGCTGCAGGGTCCCAGACTGCTTATATGCCTCTGGTCATCAACTGTAGGATCCAGAAAGAAAGAAAGTGGAGGGAAAGGAAAACCAAACGGGCAGTTTTCCAAGGAAAAGTCCCACCCAGGACTTCCCCCTGCCCCTGGCTACAAGGGAGGCTGGGAAGTACAAGTGCCATGTTTTTAGCTGGGTATAATAGCAACAAGACTGAAGTCAATCCTCAGGTTGAGAGCATAGGAACATCCAACCTATGTGTCTGAAAGGATGGTAAGCCTGTCACCATCCCCCTTTCTGAAAAATGCCTACTGTCGATACTACTTTCTACTACTAATGGCTATTATTTATGAAACCCTGTATGCTGGGCACTTTACTAAGCACGTTGCATGCATGATCTCATTTTAGCCTCATGTCAACCCGACAAAAAAGATTATCTAATTACTCCCATTTTAAAGGTAAGGAAACTGAAAGGTTGAGTTATGCCCATAATATGATAGTGGAGAGCTACAGTTCAAGTGCAGTTCTTTCCAAACCAGAAACCTTCGTTATAACTACCACTCCAAGCCCTCCCACTCCATCATCCAGAACTTTGGGGCAGATGGGGCAGGACCCCTGTGTGTGATATTAATGCACATCTTCCTGCTTAAAATCTAGAGATAAATTGCTAGCCATGAGAATACCCAAGGGTAGTGTTATGGTATGGATATGAAGTGTCTCCCAAAAGCTCCTGTGTTACTGCAGGAAGCGAAATGATTGGATTACAAGAGCTGTAGCCTACTCAGTGAATTAATCCACTTGGTGGATTAATCATTCCAAAGGACTACTGTACTGGGTGGTCACTGTAGGTAGGTGGGTGTGGCTACAGCGTAGGTCTCTGGGGGCATGCCCTTGGGGATTATCTTGTCCCCTGGCTTCTATCCCACGCTTTGCATCCATCTTGAGCTGAGTAGTCTTCCTCTGCCACGGCATTCCGCCTTCCTTGGTCCCAAAGCAATGGAGTCAGACAACCATGGACTGAGACTTCGGAAACCATAAGCCAAAATAAACTTTTCCCCTCTGAGGTGTTCTTGTTGGGTGGTCTGGTCACGGCAACAGAAAGCTGACCAACAGACAGCCTCCCTTCCTTGTCTTCTTTTTTTGCATTAATATTTTGAAATGTGAGAAATTATAAAAATTACATGCCTTTTTATACCAAATTAAACAAAATAGGGGGTTATAAAGAGAACTGCATAATCTGTCTTTGTCCCCTCTTAATTCTACCGCTGACCAATATTAAGTTCATATGCATGCTTCTACACACATTCTAACACACATTCAATGTGTGTTCCTGCAAATATTAGGAAACATATACCTGCATATAAATGACTTGCATATCTTTTAAACATTTTTTAAAAGGAATAATACTATACTTACTGTTCTGCACTTTTCATACTCCACAGTATAACAGCACTAATCATTTCCCAGTTGAGAACATTAGGGTAATGTAGGTGAAGGGTACACATGAACTCTCTGTACTGTTTTCTCTTTTGAATTCAGTTTTATTGGGATATAATTCACGTACCGTAAAATTTATCCTTTTAAAGCGTACAATTCAGTGGTTTTATTATATTCAGAGTTGTGCAACCATCGTCACTATCTAATTTCAGAACATTTTTTTATTACCTCAAGAGGAAACCAGGAATCCGTAAGCAGTCACTCCTCATTCCCTACCTTGCCCCAGCCCCCCGGCAATCACCATCCTGGAAGTTTCATATAAATGGAATCATTCAATGTGTGGCCTTTTGTGATTGGCTTTCTTTCACTTTGCATATTCTTCAAGGTTGATCCAACTTGTAGCATGTATTAATATCTCATTCCTTTAATTGTCAAACAGTCTCTGCACTATTTTTTTTTTCCTTTGGTACTGGGGATTGAACCCAGGGGCTCATGCATGTCAGGTAAGAACTCTGCCACAGATCTACATGCCCAGTCCTTTTTAAAATTTTATTTTGAGATATGGTCTCATTAAATTGCTCAGACTATCCTCAAACTTGCAATTCTCCTGCCTCAGTCTCTTGAGTTCTAAGTTCCTGGGATTACAGGTGTGTATTATCATGCCCAGCTCACTGTATTATTTTGGAAAATTTTCTGAAAGTTTAAAATTTGTAAAAAAAAATGCTTCTTTTAAAGGTAAACATTCACTTTGACCCAAAAATATCACTTTAAGAAATGTAATTGGGCTGGGGTTTTAGCATGTTTGCCTAGCATGTGTGAAGCACTGGGTTAGACTCTCAGCACCACATATAATACAATAAAGGTCCACTGACAACTACATACACACACACTGTGTGTGTGTGTGTGTGTGTGTGTGTATATATATATATATATATATATATATATATATATATATATAAAGGAAATATAATTCACAGAAATAACAGTACCAATACATAAGGAAATATATACAATAATGTCTATTATAACATTGACAAAAAGAAAAGGAAAAGGGACCTAAATTTCTCAGCTTTAATGATGAAATATTAAAGAAATGTAGTAAATCTGTTTTCTTACTGTAAAAGTAAAATATGTTCATTATATGAACAGAAAAGTATTAATTCCCTACTTATAAAAGGGTAGTAAAAGAACTTCCTCATAGGGTTCCATGGTTATGTGAGAATATATATATAAAATAGTGCAGTCTCTAGTACATGGTGAGCACTCCATAAAGATTAGCTATAGTAATAAAAACAGTGGGTACTATAAGGAAGAAAATTTTTCAATCTCCCAAGTCCATATTGCAAAGCTACTCCTATTAACACTTTAGTATATTTCTTCTTAGACTTTTAGAGTATTGTTTTTGGTTGAGTGATTCATTTTATATAGTTGTAACTGTATCCATTATTCATTTTATCTTTTTCACATGGCTTCATTCATAAGCATTCGTCCTTATTGCATGCACCTCATACATTTAATTATAATAGATATAATGTACCAAATGGACAGGAGATTGTTCATTGAACCAGTTCCCTACTGTTGAACACATTGCACTTTCAGAAGGTCTCACTAATCCAAACTCTACCACTGTGTGGTCAGTTTCAACTAGCTGTGCTAATCCAACAGGCCACCCTGGCATCTCAGTGGCCTTCCTCAACAATGGTTTATTTCTCACACATGTTACAGTCCACAGTGGGTCCATTATGACTACACTCCGTAGCCCCTCGAGTCCAGGGCCTAGGCTGATGGAGCGGACTCTATCTGGCATATCGTTGGGATATTTTTCTCCCTCGGAGAAGAGAGAAAAGAGAGACATGGCAAATGATAATCTGACTTAAGAATGACATGGACCATTTTTGCCTATAGTTCATTGGACAAAGCAAGTCCATGCTAACATCTCACATCAAAGGGACAGGAAAGCATAAACTGCCCTTAGGAGGGACAGCAATATTCTAAATGATAACAACCTACCCCAGTCACCTGGAGAGCAGTAGTGGCTCTGGGTAGGGCCTTTTACCTTTCTGGGTCTGAGTTCATCTCAGTTACAGAGAAGCTTCAAAGAACTAAGATATGTGAAAGCATTTTGTCACTCATAAAGCAACACATAAATGCAAATGTTTTGTTACTATTGTTAGTGAAAAAGAAATCCAGAAAGGCAGGTAAGGGGTAGCTTGAGGAAGACTGAATGCAGGGAGAGCACTTCCTTCATGAGGCCACGGAAGTTGAATTGACTCTTTCGCTGAAGAGAGTTCCAGACCAGGAGACGTGCTGACTATAACCCTGCTCTGTCACTTCCCTTTCAATTCAATCCAGTCCTGCCTAATCGAGCCCCAAGACAAACACAGACACTCAGTCCAGGCTCCATGGTCAGGTGTGTGGGACCTACATGACCAGCTGGGGGACAGAGTCCAAGACAGCATGGCCTGCTGCAGGCCCCTTCTCGGCTCAGGGCTCCCTCCTGTGACAGCCACTTAACAAGGTTAACGATATCCCAGAGGCTTATTGGAAGTGCAATGAATTCCACTGCCAATGCGACCACATAGGGGTTATAACCTGGGCGGTGAGCAGGCGAGGTCACCTGTGTTTCTTGGTCTCTTTGTAGCTGTTGTCCAGAGCAACAAAAAGCTCAAAGCTGGCTCCTCACACACAAAGCCACAGTTTTAATTTGATATTTACATTTGAGGTTTTCTTTTCCCCTAAAGCATCTCAGAAAGTCAAATGCCAAGGCTCTGGAAATAAAGGCAGTTCAGACCCAGGAGTAAGGGTGGATGTCTGGAGCAGCTAGGACCCCCTACCTATCTGTTCCTGAGGCCTAGGCCATTGACTCTTGGGACCTAAAGGAAGCCAGACCTCCCCCAAGATGGAGCTTATTCTTGGCCCTCTTTATGGAAACAGGCAAAATGGTTGGGCATCTGTCTACTCCAGAGCCACCAAGTTGAGGCCAAGTATGGATTTCATTTCTATTCTTTTCTTTCTTTTCTTTTCTTTTCTTTTTTTTTTTTTTGGTACTGGAGATTGACAGGAGCACTCAACAGCTCAACATCCCTAGCCCTATTTTGTATTTTATTTAGGGAGAGGGTGGCACTGAGTGGCTTAGCGCCTTACCATTGCTGAAGCTAGCTTCGAACGTGCAATCTTCCTGCCTCAGCCTCCCACACCACTTGGATTACAGGTGTGCGCTACTCTGCCCAGCCCAAATGTGATTTCTGTGTGG